GTGGGGCGACCCCGCGGCGCCCGGGGGGGAGGGCGCGGGGGGCGGCCATGGGCTCTTGAGGGGGCGAGGGGCACCCCCGCCTCTCTCCGGGCGTCCTCGCCCAGGGCAGCAGCTGTACTAGCGGGGGTGTTAGGGCGGGTGCGGGCGCGGGATCGCTTCGGCGCCATTGGCGTTCTCCGCGCGCTGTGGTTGGAGTGAGCTGGCGCGAAGGCTAGCGAGCCGGTGAGTGCCAGGCCGGCGGTTTGGATTGGCTCGCCGAGGGAGCTGCTTTGGTCTGGGAGGAAACTCGAGAGCCTGCGGTCCGATGACGAAAGCTGAGGTTGGAACAAGGGGAGAGCTTTGGGGTCCGCCGGAGGAGTTCGGTCTGGGGAAAATCGCCTGCAAATTGCCCAGATGGGCGCGAAGGGTTGGGAGGGAGACGTGGGAGTCGAGTGGCCGAATAAGACGGGAGGAAGGGGTCCCAGTTTTTCTTCCTGTTGGAGAGCTGCACCTGGGTTTGAATTCTCAGTTCCTCACGAAGCTTGAAGTACAGGAACAATCTTATTTTCATACTCTGCAATGGCTCTAAGGCCGCTGGAGGGTCCTCTCCTTGCCGTTTCTTTCCTCTGTTGGATCAATGTGAAGGCTGCTCCTTTCCGTATCTATATCAGAAGCTTTTAGGCCACCCTAAAAGTGTGCCTTCTTGTGCAGCGGCCTTTCCGACCTATTGCCTTCCAAATGTATTGAAACTGCCATTTCCAAATTTCCAAGCCAATGCCCTCTTTGGTAAGATGTTTAGCGAAGCCATCCTTTCCTTTGAAAACAGTTGTCCGGCCAGAAAAAAATAAAAGGGGATAGGCAGAAGATGGTCAATCCTACATGTATGAGAAAAGGATGAGAACTCCCCCCCCCTTAAAAAATATCTAGAAATATGGTAGTGAAGCTTTTTCTGTCATGGATGTACAAAAGTCTTAGAGAAATTTTAATCTGTTTGCTTTTTTTCCTTTTCAAAATGTGCTGTATTTTAAAAGAGGGAACTTATACATAAGTTTATATTTTATAAATGTAGCAACAGGATGAGTTGAAGTAGAATGGGGAGAGTTCTTTATTACCATATTAATTGTTACATTAATGTAATTGATAAGTTTGAAGGAGGGGAGAGAGAGAGTTCCACAGAAGGGAGAATGAATGGATAGACTGGTTGTGTGCAACTATTCCCTCCGTGCCTGGAGATGTAGGAAGAGGCATTTGGCTCTGTGCATATAAAATGTAAGTCCTGCCTTATATAGATTCACACCATTCCCCCCACTAGCTTAATGCTACTAAAAGTGTACCACTGTTGGGAATAACTGCTGAGTCATCTAATGGTAATTTGAAGCTGCTGTTACCTGTGCTAAGTAAGGTTGCTACAGCAATTAAATGCTTGCATTAAATTGAGGGCAAAGGTGCAAAATCATCTTGACTTACATCTTAGTTGGACTAGAGTCATACCAATCCAAATTACCAGGCTTATTTCTGGAAATTTGGTAACTAGTCTTGGAAGGAATGTAATAGAAGGAGTTAACAACACTGCAGTCCTATCAAGTAGCACTTCTAGCTTCACACTGTGTATCTTTTCTGCACAACAATGCAGTGGCTTAAGGTGAGAATGAGTGTGATGAGTTTAGGGTATTTTTTTTCCCCAGTGTAAAAGGGCACATTTCCAGAGTGCTACACTTGCTTCTCTTATTCTGAATTGCTAAGCTAATGGGTGTGCTTAAAAATTGAAACAATTGAGCTTTATCTCCATTTGCCCCTTATTGCATACATTCCTGTTTGCAATTCTTTACCTTTCTCTGATTAGCTTTACAGCTAATCAGAGAAAGATAATGAATTGCAAACAGGAATGTATGAAATATGGGGCAAATGGTGGTTTGTGATCCACTCAATTCAGAATCAAAGCTAGCATAGTTAACAGCATTAACGTTGTCCTATTCTTTTCTGCAATTTTAGATTATTTTCTTCCAGTTCCACATTGTTAGTTCTTTGTTCAGAAGTATATTTAAATATATAGAGTTTTCTGAGGCTTGACTTTTATCAGTCTCCTGCCTGATACAGAAAGAGACCAGTTAAGTGTAGTGAGACCTAATTCCTCAAAAGCATGCATCAGTACACAAAATAATCTATTA